ACTTAGGAAATACTATACTGGGGAACTAACTTAGTACTTTTCTGCATGTATTTGTCTCAGCCCTTGAAGAAGCAAATTTTGTGCTTCAATCTCTTCTATCTTCATCATCATGTTTTTGCTTGTCTCTTTTTGGAAATACTCTATGAACCTGGACTTGGATCTAGAAAAGGAGGTTCCTTTCTGCATAGAGGCCTTTTCCTAGCCTAAACATTCTGTGGTCACACATGCAGGGTTATCAACTCGAGCTTGAACTTTGACCTGCCTTTTTAATATATTAAATGCTTCAGAAACAACAAGCAGAAGTTAATCAAAGTATCAGCCGTCAATGTTTAGCTCTGAAGTGGAAACTAGCTGTGCTAGAGGAGATGTATTTCCTGTTCCCACATAACACAGCACCAAGAAAACTGGCTGGACTTGTCTGCTGTTCTTCAGAGCTGCTAGCCTGCTTTCACCAAAGGGAATTAGGGGAGGAAGAAGGGTGGAAGCTGCTTGCTCTTTCATGTTCTGTGGCACAAATATTCCGAGCAAAGTTACAAGAGGATTGAAGTGTCGTTCAGTGAAACATGTGTGCTATTTCTCTCAGAATGCTGTAACAGAAATCTCTTGTTCAGGTCCCTGTTAGTGGTACCTTTCTGTGTCATGAATGTAAAGAGTTTCAGTGTGTTAGCCCATACCTATATATAATATATATTTATTTTTGGACTGCTTATGTATGACTAAAATATGATGCTGTGATACTGGCATAAAGCCAAACTCATCCTGATGCTCTGCAGTGCATATCCAAACCAGAGATTACAGAATTGTAAAAAGGGAGATTCACGGAATGGCAACAAGCCATGCCTGATAGCTTTTTTTTTTTATGTTACTAGTTGTCCAGTGGACAGCAGTTGGCAGCAGTAGGAGAACCGCTAGGACAAGGTAGTCATACAGCTCTAAAGCTTTAACCACAGGGTGAATCCTGACCCAGGCCACCAATTTAAAAGTAAAGCATCCTTAATTGCTGAAGCTAATCATCATTAAAGGCTTAATGTTCTTTGTTACGTAGTTTCTGAATCTGATCCTTCCTGAGATTTTCATACAAGCGCGGCATGATCTTTGCCTGACACTGAAAAACGATACTACCGTAATAGTGTGAATTTTTCATTTATTTTTTCTTAATATAGGTAACCCTAAAATATACTATTAAGACATGGTACAAACTTGCTATAATCATGTACATGGCCTGCCCTATACTGATGAGGTTCACTGAACTTCTTCCACTGCCTCTCATCTCCTCTGACAGAGCCTGGAAGATGCTTCATGCATGTAAATATGTTTTGATACCAAATTGATAACTTTTTGTATGTATTCAGCAAAAATGGATTATTGCTCTCTAAAGAATTGTAAGACTTGTAAGGGTTTATATGCAGAACTGCACAGTTTACCTTCTTTAAGTCTGAAAAATAGGGGCAAGGAAGACCATGAAAAACCCTTATGTGATGAATTTTAAATTGAATATCTGGTAGTTATGCTTCAAAGCTGTATTAGTGTAAATACGATGTTCTTTTTTAAAAAAAATCCTGTTCAGATGAATAATGTAATGTTGGCAATAGCGTGTTGTTTTGTGTCACTTTATTTTTTACATTTCTTAAACCTTGCTTCTGTATATGGTTATAGTGCTTGTCCATTCTCCTGTAATAACTTTTGAACTTGTCAAAGTTCAATCAAATAGGAATAGGACTAGGAAGCACATAAAGATGATTCTGAGTTTCACTCGATTTTTTCATGTTGTTCCTTGATTGAATTGAACTAGAACAAATAGATTCTGGTTTCTTTATGGGAGCATAAGCATGTTTGACTTTTGAGTGTGTCTCATTGATTCATCGCAATGTAACATGTTAAATGCTGTGACCTTGTAGGTCAAAAAAATTTAAACTTGGGCAATATTATCTTTAGACTTTCTGAGGATCATCAAGGATAGTTGCTGATATCAAAACAGTTGTATGAGGATGATTAGTGTTCTGAGGACTGACTGTGGACCATACCATGTCTTGGAAGTCTGCCAGTGGTTTCTTGGATGGCAGTGTGTTAGAAGCTGTTCTAACTGGTTTTCATCACTGGGCCTAATTTGTAAGCTTCTGCTTCCTACCCAAATAAACAAATGTCCTTCCCAGCTGTTGTCTGCCAATGCATTCTCTGAACACTTAGTGTTTCAACTGTTTCTATGCCTTATTGCCATATTTGGTAGATTGAAGAACACTAGCGCCGTCATTTTACAATTATGGAAGTTGATTGCATAATCCCAGAGCAATGGTGCCGCAGAAATGAGATTCAAAACTAGGATTCCTGACTCCTCCTTTCTGTCAGACCATATGGCCTTTTGTGGCAAACAAGAGCTATGAATTATCCAAGAAAAGATTTGAGCAAATGACAATGTGCATGATTTGTCTTGTGATAGAAGATCTTTCCTGTTTCATCTGAAAACTACTTGTTAGCTTTTCAAAGCTTACCATGGAGTAACTGTTTCACAGTATTCTACAATTATGTTGGGGTTCTCGTACATGCTTGCTGAGAGCTGAAGAGTAGTAGCTCTTGAGCATGCTCTTGTTGCAGGATTGAATTTAATGCAGCAGAGCATCCGCCTGCCCTGGGACAGCAATGCATTGTTGATTCCAAGTGCTGGAAAGGTTTCTGATAAAGTTGGTGTTCCAAAATACACAAAGTAAACTGTTCCCAGTTCCTGATGTAGAAAAATACCTTTTTTTTTTTTTTTAATTGAAAGCATAGGAGGATGTTTAAATGGTTTAACTGTCTATGTAACTATGCACAACACAACTCTTACGTGCCTGTGTGTGTTTTTAAAACTAAGGTGTTTAAATTACAATGGCACTTGGAAGGCGGGAATGAGATTAAATGCCCAGTTTGTATCCTAAATGCCAGATGGTAACCTTGATAGATTTTGTCTGCTCAGCAGGATTGAACCAGGTTTAGTGTCCAATCTGAGGCGAATGTGTTTGCCTTATGTTATAGTTGCTCCAGAACTTGCTCAAGCAGTTTCAATAATGCTTTTTTTAATTTTGATTTAATTTAATTTTTTATTTTTAATGGACTGGCAATCTGTCTTTCGCTCTCTGGCTTTCAGTTTGACTTTGATAGTATGGGAAGTTTGAAGGAAGTGCCTCTTCTGTGGTAACCTGAGTTGTGAGTTATCTTTTTTTCCCTTGAGTGTGCAAAAAAACAGGCTACTGAAGGAGCCTGATCTATGGAAAATTGAATAGCATACATAGCTCATAGCTTATACTGTTGCTATGTTGCTATGCTGTAAAAAAGAAGAAAGTGATGTCTTCTACCATGAAGCTTAATTCCTCATTTATTTTTAATTATATTTTGTGATCTGTTTATTTTTTTCTCTCCAAAGGAGTCCAGTAACAATAGAGAAATAATATATCTCTGAAACAGGGAGAGGCTGCAAACTGTCACAGAAGGGTATGATACCCAGTGTCACATCATGGGTGTTGTGCCTAGATTCTTTAAAGCTCATCTTAAATGTGGCTTTGCTGGGGCACAGTTTTGCTCTGCCTCCCTTTTTGCACAAAGAACCGTGTGATCCAGCTGCTCTGACACTGAGATTTCTGGCTTGCAGGTTCCCCATATATGGTCAAGTCATCCTCGTAATCCTCTGTCTTCTAGGGACCTCTGATTCAGTGACTCACAGTGACTTTGATTTTAAAAACAAAGTTTATTTTTCTTCAGGTGTGTGGTATAGAGAAAAAGGGTGAAAATAAAAAAGATGTACATGCACGTTTTTTCCTTAACTCTGTTCTTTTTCCTTGCAGAGGCGAGCAATTTCCGTGTAGTGGTATTGTTAATTATGTTTCTGTTTCAGAATACACAGGCAGGTCCCTTGAGACTGAACCTCTGTGTATTTGTTTCAAATCATAGGTTTAATAGTATTTAAGAGGTCTCTCTCTAGTTGAATCTTCTGAAAACTAATTGTTATCTTCTGGTTATTATTTTTAAATCAGTTTACAAGAAGACCACTTATACTGAAATGTCTGCTAGCAAATTGCTGGTTCGTTTTGTGCTCCTAACTGCATATGCTGCATAGTACTCTGGTAAGCTGAGTGGTGTTTTAGCTGGTAACATTTTTTTATTTTATTTTATTTTCTTGATAATGTATTTTGGGGAATGTAGGAGACAAAAACTTAGTCTTAAACTTAGCCAGCTGTAATTTAGACCTAGTTAGGCAGTTTAACCCCACAATTGTCATAATCCTTTACATTTGGTGCCTTTTAAAAGCTCTGTTTTCACTGGATGTAGAAGGTCTAATTTTTCCATCATCTTGCTTGTTTTCTGCCTCCTTCCAAGCTTGATGTAGGAATAACTAATCTGATTTAGAAGGCATGCATATTTATAGCTTTATGAGCTGCCAGTACAGTTTGTACCAGTCAACGCTAGAACTTGAGCTATAAAGCCAGTACAGCTAAAGCGTAGAGCATAGACATGCAGAGTTTATATTTTGATTTAAGTTGAAGAATTGATGTATGACTGGTGACCGTGTGTCAGCTAGCAGCCAAGCAGGCCACCCTACTAGAGCAAGTGAGCTTGAGCCCAGCTCAACAATGGCTCTTGTGAATTTTCCTAAGATGTCAGAGACAAAGAATTCCTCGGTCTCCTGTTTTTCCTCTCCAAACCTCACAAAGTGCCACTCTGCTAAATGCTTTGCTGGTTGAATGCCCCTAGGTGTGTTCAGTGTAGGGTATTTCGGCTCTTGATAACTGAAGTGAGTGTCGTATTTGAGGCACTTGTGTTTGAAGCATGTAGTGCTAGCTATGTGGCATAGAGTAGCAATGAGCTCTTAGTACATAATTTAGGTGTAACATTTCAAGGGATGAGTTCTGATAAATGAAGTATTATTTCTCACTTTCTCCCTCCAAGAACAACTACAGTCTCTATGGGGCTGTGAATTAACAGTAGCAGAAAAAGAGTTTAAATTTATAAAGTCTCTAAGGAGATGGACCATGATCACAGCTGTCCACAGACTGTGTGGACAACACGCTGCAGATTGGATTAGAGATGATGCAGTTCTGTCCCTTGTCATAAAGCACAGCAGTTCTGCTTTGCTGCTGCTGTTCATTGGCGCAGCAACTGTGGCATCAATGAGGTTGCTGCACAGATACCTACAGCAGCCTGGGGGCTGCGTGTCCTCATGGGAAGCGTGTTGTCATAGTACTTTCCCTGTACCAGGGAAGTGGGTCAAGTACAACACACGTATGGTAAAGTTCTGCAGGGAGGTGACAAGCTGTATTGTTCTTGGTTGGGGCCTGAGATACTGGGCTTTACTCCGACTGCCAAGGAGAGCTAGAGGTGACTGCTTCTTGTACGCGCATCCCCCTAAGGGACTTGCTCTGCGCTGCTGAGCTGTGGTGCAGAGCAGCATTGATGATTAGCCTCCTCCTCCTTATTGTAGCTGTTTTGGTTTTAGGAATTTTTCATAAATGTTCAACCTGAAGTCTTTTTCCTTCATACTCATATTATGCCCTCAGAAGTGTTTTGTTTTGCTTTTAAACCAGCATTTCTCCTGGTAGATTTGTTGTTGTTGCTTTTGCATAAATCCATTATAAGATAAGTGTGGTTGAGTGTGTGATATATGTGTATGTGTGTGTGTAATGTGTGTGTGTATATATATATATTTTCATGTTAGAATAAACTAAGTGTGCATGTGTTAATCCTGTGTGTCAGATCCTTTGCTACACAGCTATTTCATCAGCATTTGCTGGTGAAAGCTAAAGATCTTCCTCAGATTGTTGCCTATTTTATCATTCTCTATTTGTATTGTCTTAATTTCAAGCAACATGATTGAGATTTGGGGTTCTTCGGTAATACTGGACGCATAACATAGATTGTCCATCTTTAAATAGCTCCTTTTGTGGAACTGTTAGGCTGGTTAAATATATTCTTGCATTTTCTTTTGTTTTATAAGAGAGAGAACATGTGCCTGGATTTTCCTATTTGACTTTGGTCATTTGTGACCAGTCATAGCTCAGGTTTAGTCCTCCTCTCCACTTCTCCAATCCTTCCTAACTCAACAGAGTTCCAGTCCTGCGTATCGTGAATGTGTTTGGGAGAGTAAGGCAGAGTTGTGCATTCTTAGGTTAATGGTAAGTGGAGGAATATAAACTGTTGTTTGTGGGCCCAGGGAAGAGAAGCAATACAAAAATCAATACTTTGTTTTATAAACAAATCCTCTGAAGCTTAGTTCTCTTTCAATCCCAGAAATGGTTATAGAAATTTAAAATACTTTTTAAACATTTTTGTTTGTTTGTTTTGGAAATACTAGCTTCCCCCCCCACCCCGCTCCTCCCTTGTCTTGTTTGAGTGAGACTCAAGCAATACTGAACAAGGACAACTGAATTATGTACTTTCACACTGTTATGTAAAGTGTTACTCATATCATGCAAGAGATGAAATCTCAGGGATGAAGGGATGAAATCATTCTCAGTTCAGGAAATATATTGTAGTTTGTTCAGGAGTTTGCCTTATGCAATATTGCTCAACTTATTTATGCAAGAAACTGTTATCTCTGAAAACACATATCTCAAAAAAATGCAAAGTGCATAGTAATGCAGCCCTAACTGTTAGGTTATATGTTTTTTTAAAAAAGGTATGCAGGCTAGTCATGTCATTCTCCAATTTTATATGTTAGGGACCAAAATAGCTTGATTATCTTCAAAACTGAGATAGTAAATTTAAGATGATTCTTGTGTCAAACCATGATAGGTATCTGATAGTGCTAGTAATCTAAAAAAGATGCTTATAGAAGAATCTTTTTACTTTATAATTGTATTTTGTGTTATGTATTGCAAGGGTTCCTTTTGCTTGAGAATAGAATGAAATATGAAAGATGTGTTAGAAAACTAATCAAACAGCTGTGCAGAGATGTTTTGATTCCTGCTTGTAAGATACATAAGTATAGCTGCAGGATTGCAAGGCGCTTCTTTTATACCATGTGCTTCTCTTGGTATGGTGGCTGCTGTTGAATGTCCTAAGTTGCTTTTGCTTGTTTGGATATTTTTTTTAATATCCTTTAGTGATCTTCAAATTGAGAACCAATTTCCAATGAGCCTTGTACTGGAAACTCATTTTGGAGGAGTGTACGGAAATCCTGAGGCAGTGAGGCTTTCGTATGCTTGGGTGCTGGTAGATTTAAATAAGCCAGTAATGTGTGTGTTTTTGTTTTTCTATGATGAGAGTTATTAAGTTTGATTGTCTGTGTATGTTTATTCTACATACACTTTAACGTCCTACAAATGATTTGTTAGACTCATTTAAAATTCATTGAAGTAGTAAGGGATTTCTTTGCATGTAAGAGTTCAATATTATAAAATTATCCAGAATGCAAATAAGTAAGGGGTCCCCTTTTGGGGACTGTATTGCAGAGCTGAATATTTAAATAATTATTTCCTGCTAAGCTCTCTTACAACTTATTGGTGGCAGGAGCAGCCCCATCATTCCCCTATCCAGGCAAACAAACTGGGCTCACAGAGAAACTGGCAGGAGAAAGGTACCTGGAGCATCAAGGAATATCCTGGGGCAACTGCACAGCATGAGCAGCAGTAGGAGCAAAGTAAGGGATGTGAGAAGCTTATGATTTACTTTAACAGTTCATTTATTCCAGTGCTGTCAGCTGGTTTTATTTGTTATAAGAATCCCATATTTGGTATAAGTGTCTTTGGATATTTTGTGTTGTATATCCGTGGCTTTGGTCTGACCTAGTGAGAAGCTTCAGTTTCACTGTAGTTTAGCCTGATCCAGTGTGTGTGAAAGCTATCAGAAAGATTTTTTTTTTGGCACAAAAGCAATGTGATGGTTTACACTTAAGTCAAATTTGACAGTTCTGGAAAAAATATAGTATTTTTATATGTATTTTTTTTTTATGTATTTGGGTGTCTAGCTTAGCTATTCATTGCTATGCTCTCCAATGCTTCTTCTGGAAGTTATGTATGATATAAGAAATACAACTGTGCTTCATGCCATACTTGCTGCCAGCTCCATCTCTGACAGAATTTCTTTCATATGGAATTCTGTTTGACTTGAGAAATAAATCTGTATTATTTAAGGTCTTTCTCAGCCTACCAGAATAATTTTGCTAAATTTTCATGACTTGCGTGAACAGGTAAAAATGGTGAAAATGTAACTTATCTTCTGAGCCTTTCATTTTCTTACTGATGGCAAAATATTTGGTCTATCACAGAGCACTCTAATTATAAGTGTCAGGAGTGGGGCGTGCATGTTTGGACATGTTCTGTTGTCAAGAGATCAGAATATATTTCAGGTTTGATTTCCTTATGAGTTTTTGTCTACACATGCGAATATTCAGACAGGCAGTAATTCCCTACAAGTGACAATGTTTTGAGATGCCTGCCATGGGGAAGAGAGAAAACATGCATTTTGAATGACTCTTTTTAAAAAAAAGGTTTTCATGTTTAACGTTGCCATTTTTGCAGACTTGCTATACAGCATCATAAAATATTTCAAACCATCACTTGAACACCATGTGTTCCTTGCTATCATAAAAACACTTGCTCAATTCATTAAGGAGGTGGCTACCAGCTCTCCTTGTGTTTTGGCTGCCTAACACTTCCCATTATGGAGATTATGGAGTTTTCTTCAGGCTTCTTTTTAACACTCCCATTGTTTTTAACAGATGGCAGGAACTAAGTGGCAAAAATCTCTGCCTAGGAAAAGATACTGCATGAAATTCTGTTCAGGGTTTAGTTAGGTGTAAGCTGGGTAAAAAGGCTATTTTCCTTCCCTGCTTGTTGCCATGGAGAAAAAAAAAAAAGAAAAAAAAAAGAAAAAGAAAGAAAAAATCTTGCCAAACTTAATTTTGGCCTGTGAACACTCCGAGGTGATGTTTGTGCTAGGACAACAGATGTGACGTGCCAAATACCTGCAGACTGTCACGTTTGCTGGACCTGGCCAGCTGTACCTGAGCTGGGCTCCCCCTGCGACTTTCCCAGCCGCGCTGAGCGTCTCCCAGCCACGCTGAGTGTCAGTCGCGGTCGCACGGTTGCTATCTGGGATGGGAGGTGGCTGCCACCGAATGGTGCGGTCCCTTGTGCTTACTGCAAGGAGGAACTAAGCTGTGCTTGCTTAGTGGTTCAAGTCTCCTGGCTATGTTAATGTAATAACTTTACCTGAACACCAGGAGTGAATTCTGATGAGAAACCTGTTAGTTATTTGGGTTTTGAAAAGTCAAGGGGGGCTCTGAATTAAGAGACTACATGCTTTAAGATGATTTTTGAGAGGTTAATGCTGCAGATGTTGATTAGGTTGGGACACCCACACTGCCAACATGTCATGTTTCTAATTCTAGTAACTCTTGGAAGCCAGTTACTAGGTGAGTGCTCCCTACAGAGCTGAGGTTCATGGAAAGCTTTACAGCAAAAGCAAAAGCTTTGCTGGTGTGCAAATTCTGGCATACGCATTTTCATACTATGTATTCTCACTCCAGCTTCCTTGGACTAGGACAGTCTCCTCCGCTGGGAGCAGATTGTATGTGCGACATGGGTGTCTGTCTTGCTCTCATTTAGTGGATTGCAACATAGGGAAATTTTTGCAGGAAATCCTGAGACACTACTGTAGGAGGGCATTCTTCTAGTTTTCTCCTTTGCAAATTCACATTTTCTTAATTTTTTTTTTTTTTTGGTCTGTTTCGTTGCCAGAAACAGGGAGGTTGTAAGGATCAGGAAGGGGATTATGAGCCTTTTGAAGACAAACATTCCTTCCTGGAGCTCTGCAGTAGCTTCCACCATATTTGTTTTCCCTTTACCAGAATGTCTTTAGGACACAGGTCTTAGGGTGCTTGCAGGAGCACTCCCTCGCCCCTGAAGGCCGTGAATTTGTTGGCAGGATTCCAGTATCAGGGATGCTGCTTTTCTTCCTCTGAGCATCATAAAGGACTTGAGCTGAGTTTCTGAAGAGCAGAACTGAAAAGATGTAATTGCTATCTGAGCTGGCAGAGGAGAGCTTTTTTTTTTTTTTTTTTTTTTTTCCTTTGTGAGAGCAGTTGGAGATGCCCTAGGAGAGCCTCAGAGCCTTATCTCCACCAGGAGACTGGTGTGTGCCCTGCATAACAACTGTGACGCAAAGAGGGACCTGCCTTTGGCAGGGTGGAGTAGGGCTGCCTTTCAGCTTTCAAAGAGCCTGATAAAAAAGAAATAACCAGAGCACAAAAGGTGCAGTGCAGCTGAGGGAGAATAAGTGTGTGATCTGGCATGTTGCTGTACCCCCACAAGCTGTTACTTTGTGATCCTGCACATAGAGTAATTAACAAATTAATTGGTGGCTGCTTGTTGTGATGGAATTGTAGAGTTTGTACCTCTATACTTGAAAAGGTAGAAAGATGAGAATTTAGTTAAGTCTGTTTTTGCTCCTAAAAAATGGAGAGCCGAGCAAGGTAGATAGGAAGGTATGTTTTAGATACTTGTGCTTTAAGTTTTGTTTGGGAGAAATAGTTTGAGATTATCTAATCAAAAACATGTTAGTGTTTGAAAAGAGGGATATACTCTGCTAATATCCTGCTATACAGCAACAGAGGTTTTTACAAGCTGTGTTAAGTAGTCTGTTTTGATTAATGTAGAGAATGGTGTTGCTTATACTAGAAGGTAGGATCATATATCTGAAAGCGGGAAAATCATAATGCATGATAAATGTTACACAGAAGTCTTGAAATCAGGTGGTCTTTCTAAAGAAGTGTGAAGAAGGTTAAAATCTGTCTATCATGCCATTTTCAACGTGGCTAGTTCAGGTGACAGAGGTTGCATTCAGTTGATGAAACCATCTGACAAACAAAATAGCCCACTTGTAGCACGAGCAATAGTATATCAGGTAAAAATTAGTAGTACAACATTTATTTAATTTTAGAGAGTTGGAGCATACTACTGTTCTTAAGAATCTGCCACATAGCTTCCATCTGCTAAGTTGATAAGTAAATCCTGTTTATCCATATTACTAAGTCAATAACTAAATCCTGTTCGTTCATTCTGTGTGGATTATGTTAGATTCATTGTTCACCTTGCTGAAGGGGACGCAGAAGAAATTTGGAGTTGCTTTTGTAACTACTTAGATGATGCATTTGTCCTGTACAAAATATGGTAGAAGTCATAGTGCAGCTCTTGGACGAAGAATCTGGGAGACCCCCATTACCTCTACGCTGTTTCATTAACTGTCACAAGTGAGAACATGTCTTGGAAGGACAGAGGGGAGCAGGACTCCTGGTTCTTGTGTCTTTAAGGACTATGTGTATTGCCTCATTTTGGCCTCCTGAAAGATGTAAACTGAGAAGTCTTCTATTAGTCCTGTAATACAAAAGACAAATTTTGTAGTTAAATTTCAGTATTTAACCTTTTAGCTTTTGAGGAGGATGTTATTGAGGGAGACCAGAGTGATTTTAATAAACTTAAATAAAGCTGCTGTAAATTTGTCTTTTCCAGAACATGTTTTCTAGTTTAAATGAGATTTGTGGTTAGAAAGGAGAAATAGAAAGGTAATTCTAGATCTTTTCGAAGAATTATCATAATGCTGTGAATCTGAAGCTTGATGTAGAAATCTGTACTTTCTAGAGAAAAATATTGACATTAATAATTTTAACAATTAATAATTTTAATTAATTTACATCAATGTAAATAATTTTAGTAATTTTAGTGTCATGCAAAAGGATAGGATAGTGCTAGGAAAGGCTGTTGTCTTGCTTCATGCCGCAACTTTGGCTGGTTAAGACTGAAGTTAGTAGTGATCATATAGTAAATGGAGTGATTGGAGTCTGGTGATGGTAGTGAGGGTTGGACACTGCCAAGCAACTAATGTCACATTATCATTTCAGATAAAAAACAAAAATATTTTCTGACAAATCCAAACAGTACAGGACAGATGTGCTTGTATAGGCCCCAAGCAGGGCAGTTGGTGCAGAAGGTTTGGTGCAGAGCCCACACAGGTGCTTGTTACAGGCATGCTGCAAAACAGAGCTGAGAGCTGGACACTTTTTCTGTTTGATCTGCTTTTTGTTTGTTTTGTTTTTGTTTTCTTGTGTGTGCATGTTTTTTTAGCAGTTGGGCCCAGACGTGAACAGAATACAATGTTTGGATACAAGCACTTAACAAAGAAAGTTAAAAGCTCTTGAGTCCTTTTTTCCTTCTTCCCTTCCATCTTTGAGAATGTCTTCCTTCCGTCCGTCTGTCCATCCGTCTTTTCATATCAAAACATTTAGCAATTTAGCAGATACTTTATTTTGTCATAGAGAAAAAGAATCTCCATTCATTAGAGAATGTGAGTCTTTGAAATTATTCTGCAATATGAGTTTGCAAGAATAAGATTTTATTCAAGGTAAGAGTCTTAGTGTTCGGTTCATATTTTAACACTGTTTGATCTTGAATACTCTGTTCTGTCCCTTCAGATATTAGCAGTAGAAGGAACAACTTACTACCGATTTGCTTATCTTTCTATTTGACGTCCAAGTGTTGAATGAGGAAATACTAGAAATAAAATAATTGCTTTCTGACCTCCCTATTTCCTGCTGTGTTTTTCAGCATTATTCTTTGAGTGGAGCACTGCTAAACAGAGAAATGACTATGCTGCTTGATTTATATATATAGTATTCATGTATCGTGGTAATGTATGTAGCTGGAATCTGTCTATGTTTATGGTTCTGCTGTACATTATCCAGTGGTCTTGCAAGCTCTGATGCTGATATGGAACAAGACAGATGTATCTATGAGTGTCAGTTCAGTATTTTTGTTACAATAAAAATCCCCTTATGCAGGATGGATGAGAACTGGGACATATCTCTGAAACTTCACAGTTATGATTTAAATGGGGTGCACACCAGAGCTTTCTCTGCACTTTGAATAGCTAGGCCCAAGCTGTGGTCTTCAACAAGGTTCCAGTTTTATGTTAGACCAGTGCTTCTTTGGCACAGAGAATGAAACAGATTATCAGTTTGGGTGGAAATTTAGCCAAAATGCTGGATGATAAATAAAATATTTGGATGAATATTTTGGTTAAAATCCGCAGAGGAAGCAGGATTAAATGTCTCTCTATTTTGGCAACACTTAGGGCTTTGATTGCAGCAGTCTGTTGAACAAAATGGCCAAATTGTTCTTCTTCTAGGGAAATGGCTTTTTGATGGTGAACCTTTTATTGACAATTCTAGTAACTTTTATAATCAGGAGATTTGTTTCTTTCCAAATTACATCCTGTAACATGTGGTGGTTGTTTATTTGCTCCAGCCACTTTTCTCTGTCAAAACTGCTGAGTTCTTAAAGCCAGCCAGGAGATCTCTTAAATTTCAATATTTTTCTTCTAG